CTATTGAAAAAGACATCCATGTCCTCAGTTGCCAGCCCTTTCCGCGTCCACCTCCGTGCCTCTGCACTTCACTTCCACACCTCCTCTGAGTATCAGTGTGCTTTTCTCTTTCCTTCTAGTTGTAGAATTTCCACTCAGCCAGCCTTCTTGTGGTTCTGGATGACGTCCGTTTTGTCTTTTATTTGTATTTTTGAAGTGGTTGTGCGATGCAGCAATTTCAGGTGTTTACCTATGCTGCCATCTTGGTTTCTCTAGTATAATACTCTTTAGATCAGTGGTTCCCAAAGTGGGGCACTTGCCCCACAGTGGGGGTAATTTGATTTTTAATCCTGTGCGGTCCAATTTTATTTTTGGAATTCAAACAGTCTGGTCCAAATTAATTGACGGGATTGAATGTTGAACCGGTTTGCAGTGTCGACCTCAGCCTCGACGTTGGACCTGCTCCTAGCCCCTGATCTGTCGAGTCAGCCTCCACGTTGGACCGAAAAGGGTTAAAGAGGGCAATTAGAGAATGAGTTATTAATAGTGAATTTTTTGTATTTCTTATGATTCTAGGGGCCTCATATACACTCTATAAATATATATTCTGACATATTTCTGTTCTTTATTATATGTTTTGGAACTTTATTTGCTATTTTTTCATATCACTTCATATTATTATTTTTTAAACAATTTCTTAGTGATTTCTTCCTCAGTTCTTCAAGTGTCATTCTTTTATTTTTATTTTTCATGGATGCCATATTCTTTGGAAGCTTGTTTAGACCCAGTTAATGGCCTTTTAGTATTCCTCCACATGAATAAGAGTTCACTTTTTGAATAATAAGAATTATATGTCACTCGGTATGTAGGGAGCGGCTATAGGGTTAAGCCTCAGATTGGCCTGTTGGCAAAGCCACAAACAAGTGCCAGCTTAGAGGGCACAGCTCTCTTAACATAGTTAAGCTTGATCTTATGATGTTCCATAGATCCTATCTGGGTAGCTAATAGGCTGTGGGAGGTCCAGCAAGTGCTGCTAAAACAAGTGAAACTCACAAGAAAATTGTAACTATGGTGACCACTACCTTGTTTACCTCTGGCTATAAAATAAAGGCTCTGCTTGTTGTCTGGATCTCTGTCTGTGGCCTCAGGAAGGCACAGGAAGATCCACCTAGACCGGCCGTGGGCAAACTACGGCCCGCGGGCCGGATTCGGCCCGTTTGAAATGAATAAAACTAAAAAAATAAAAGACCGTACCCTTTTATGTAATGATGTTTACTTTGAATTTATATTAGTTCACACAAACACTCCATCCATGCTTTTGTTCCGGCCCTCCGGTCCAGTTTAAGAACCCATTGTGGCCCTCGAGTTAAAAAGTTTGCCCACCCCTGACCTAGACCCAGCTTATTCTCTTTGTCTTTTCTACATCCTTCGCTGCCGCTCCGCCCCCCTACCCCCTCCAGGCTCACCGAACTTGTGGCTGTGCTGGCACGGCACAGGGGGGGCATTAGGATTTTGGAGATGCTTAGGTGGGGCATGGCAAAAAAAAAAAGGTTGAGAACCACTGCTTTAGATCCATCCATGTTGTTGCAAAAGGCAATATTTCATATGCTTTTATGGCTGAATAATAAATAGGGTGGGGCAAAATTTGGTTTATAGTTGGGAGTATGCAAAACAGTTTATTCTTGTATTATTAGGCATTAATTATTGTATTATCCTATCTAATAGACAAACATGGTAATTGACCATACCTTCGTTATGCCTCCCATTGGTTAATCAGCACAATATGCAAATTAATTGCCAACAAAGATGGCGGCTAATTTGCATACTGCAGGCAGGGCGGAACAGCGCAGCCGCCAGTGCAAGCCACCATCCCGGGCCGCAGGCCAGCCCCAGAAGCCCCAGAAGCTGGTGATTGGGGGGAGATGGGGGTCCCCTTCCCAGGCCTGACACCTCTGGCGGAGGCGTCAGGCCTGGGTGAGGGTGGAGCCGGTGATCGGGGGGAGGATGGGGGTTCCTGCCCACGCCTGAAGCCTGGGCCAGAGGCGTCAGGCCTGGGGCAGCGGGGGGAGGGGGGGGCCCTAAGCCGGCGATTGGTGTGAACTACAGAGGAAACACCTTTTCTGACCGCTCATTGGTTAAGCTCCCTGTATGCCACTGGTAATATTCTTAGTAACTTGGGTAATAAGAATCCAAAAAGGTGATCTAGGGTTTTTCACCACACTCCTGGCAAAAAAAACGAAGGTCCGCTGCTGGAGGGCTAAGAAATGTCATATCCTGCCCTAGCCGGTTTGGCTCAGTGGATAGATAATGCCTTGGCCTGCCGATGGCAGGGTCTGAGTTCAATTCTGACCAAGGGCATGCACCTAGGTTACAGGCTCCTCCCTGGCCCAGGCCCAGGTCAGGGCTCATGTAGGAGGCAACCAATCTAAGTGTTCCTCGCACTTTGATGTTTCTCTCTGTCTTTCCCTTTCTCTTCCACATTCTCTAAAAATCAATGGAAACATATCCTCAGGTGAGGATTAAAAAAAAAAATAAAGAAATTATTATTATATGAAAGACACATCTTGAAAATGCTTAAAGATAGTTGTCATTTTTCATGGTGAAGGGACTGGAGTCCGTGTTGATGAAAAAACCTTGCTGGCTGCGGTGACTGACAGTGGCTGCAGCAGCAGGGTGATGGGGCGGGTGCCTTCTTCTGATCAGCCCGGTCACCTCCCACAAAGGGAGGCCAGACTGCGGCTTAGGCCCTGTCTCCAAGGGGAGCAGGGAGCGGGCCTAAGCCGTCACTAGGACATCCCCTGAGGGCTCCCAGTATGTGAGAGGAGGCAGACTGGGCTGAGGGACACCCCCCACCCACCCAGCGCATGAATTTCATGCACTGGGCCCCTAGTCTATATATATAAAAGGCTAATATGCTAAGTGTCTGACCATCTGACAGGTCGCTGTGATGCACACCTACCACCAGGGGACATGTTCAACGCAGGAGCTGTTGTGATGCACAGTGGCCATTTACAGAGAAATGGCACTGCAGACCTGTTGCCTACAAAGCAACACTTGGCTTCCCCCAAGTGGGACACAGGCCACCCCAGAGCGACACCCCAACAAATCGCAGCCGATGCTGCAGAGACCCCATGGCACAAAATGTGGCCCACAGCCCAGCCCAGCCAGGAAACAGTTGCTGTGGGCACCGGGTAATGACATCACGTAGGAACGCTCGGCTTCCTCTCCCTAGCAATGACTAGCCTCCTTGGAGTTTCTTCAGCCCAGGAACACGACTTGCTTTATAACCAGGTGTCGACATTTTACACTTTAACCAAATGTTTGTGAAACATTTTCTTGTGCCTCATCTCATTTGATCCTCACAGAAATCCTGGAGTAGGTAGATAGGAGACTCGGTGGAATCCTGTTTTCTTTTCATTAACCAGAAAACGGCGATTTAGAAAGCTTAGAAACTTGACCCGACTGAAAAGAAGAAAGAAATGGTGAACCTTGAAAATGACTTCAGGTTTTCTCTGCACAGAATATAGTCAAACACTGCTGCAGTTAAATATTTCACCCTTTGTTCTCCCTTTGTGATCTACAATAGTAATGTGCTTCATGTTGATATTTATTGCTGTATTGCTGATAATTACTTGAAAAGTTGGGACGCTTCACTGGGCTGGAAAATGTTTAGCTAAATCAGAAAGCAGGCTAATTAAGCAAGTTTATTCTATATAAAAGGTTAAGTTGACTCGTGCATGCACGATACATATAAAGCTCTTGCTGGCACCAATCGCACACATGTTTCAATCTGTCATTATTGATCGTGAATTTGGTTGACCCTTCTATTTAGAGAAAGGGCGAATAGCGATATTAAAATATTTCTTCTAATTTCCTTTCAGTGTGCATGAATTCATGCACTGGGCCACTAGTTTTCCATATGAACAACTGTAAACCTACTTTTGCCATGCCGTGTGTGTGTGTGTGTGTGTGTGTGTGTGTGTGTGTACGTACACGTACGTACACACACACATGTTTTCTTCATCTGTTGATGGACACCAAGGTTGCTTCCATATCTGGCTATTGTGAATAATGCTGAGTAAACATGGGGGTTCATATGTCTTTTTTTTTTTTTTTTAAATATATATTTTATTGATTTTTCACAGAGAGGAAGGGAGAGAGACAGAGAGTCAGAAACATCGATGAGAGAGAAACATCGATCAGCTGCCTCCTGCACATCTCCTACTGGGGATGTGCCCGCAACCCAAGTACATGCCCTTGACCGGAATCGAACCTGGGACCCTTCAGTCCGCAGGCCGACGCTCCATCCACCGAGCCAAACCGGTTTCAGCCATATGTCTTTTTGAGTTAATGTTTTCATTTTCTTAAGATACAGAAGTGGAATTGCTGGATCGTGTTCTGTTTTTAATATTTTGAGGAACCTCCATGCTGTTTTCCACAGTGGTTGCCATTCCTGCCAATTGACATTCCCACCAGTGGTGCATAGGGTTTTCTTTTCTGCACATCTTCACCAATACTAGTTATTTTTTATCTTACTGAAAACAGCCATTCTAACGTGTAAGGTGATATCTGTATGGTTTTTATTTGCATTTCCCTGATGATTAATGATTTTGAACATCTTTTCATTTTGCTGTTGGCCATTTGTATATCTTCTTTGAAAAAATGTCTATTTAGATCTGCCCATTTTTAAATCAGATTGGTTTGGTTTTTTGCTGTTGAGTTACATGAGTTCTTTATATATTTTGTATATTAGCCCCTTACATGATTTGGAAATATTTTCTTCCATTCAGTGGGCTGCCTTTTCATCTTGTTTGTTATTTCCTCTGCTGTGCAGAAGCTTTGTTTTTGCTTTTGGTGTGCTCCTATTTTTTTCTTAAGCCACTTCAGGAGATGAACATACTTTATAATTATATTAATCTCCATTTCAAGTTTGTTTCCATATTCTCAGTAATTGTATTGTTTTGGAAATTTAATCAAGTCAGTAATGTCTTTTATTTGTCTATTTTTAATTTATGTAACAGGGTAAAATCCTTTACAAAGTTCGGTGGAAAGGATACACCTCAGATGATGATACCTGGGAGCCTGAGGTTCATCTTGAAGATTGTAAAGAAGTTCTTCTTGAATTTAGGAAGAAAGTTGTGGATAACAAAGCTAAAGCAGTCAAGAAAGATATTCAGGTATCATGTTTTATCTCATTTCTTTCTCTTTTTTTTGTACAATAAATTTATAAATTTTACTGATATAGAAAATGCAGTAAAGAAATTAGAAGTAATAATTCTATATAATAAAGAGCTAATATGCAAATGGTCATCAGCCATCACACCGTAAAGGCTCAAACACTCAACACTGGGGAGAGAAGAATGGGGACCACCCAGGCACAAATGAGCTCTCCAGAGAGGAATGGGGACCAGCCAGGCTGAACCTAGGAGAGGGACAAGCCACCTGCCCTGTGGTCCTGGGCGCCAGCGCCTGCGGCCCAGGAGAGGGACAAACCACATGCCCCATAGTCCCGGGCACCAGCGGCTGGGACTGTGGCCCGGGAGAGGGACAAGCCGCATGCCCCGCCGTCCCGGGCACCAGCGGCTGTGCCGGTGGCCTGAGAGAAGGACAAGCTTCCCGCCCCATGGTCCTGGGTGCCTGCAGCTGCAGCCCGGGCAAAGCCACCCACCCATGGTCCCCTGTGGCTGAAGCCGGCCCAGGTCCTGGGTGCCTGCGGCAGGCCAGAGGGAGGGAAGCCCGGGTTCTGGGTGTCTGCAACTGGCCAGAGAAGGGAATTCTAGGTCCCGGGTGTGGGGCGAGGCAGAGGCGGTTAGGGGCAATCAGGCCAGCAGGGGAGCAGTTAGGGGTGATCAGGCAGGCAGGCAGGTGAGCTGTTAGGAGCCAGTGGTCCTGGATTACAAGAGGCAGTTGAACATCCCCTGGGGGGTCCCGGATTAGAGAGGGTGCAGGCCGGGCTGAGGGGATCCCTCCTCCCACCAATGTATGAATTCCGTGCACCTGGCCTCTAGTAAAATAGATAATATTCCTATTGCAGACTCTATAGCCAGTTAGTTCTCACAGAATGCTTTGATTGAGTTCTGCCGACTCTTCTTTCTGTAGCCAACCTGTGATTACAGTTGACAAACAGGTATAGTTTGGACATGTTAATATTTTCCTTTAAGTTAAGAGTAAGATGAAAGTAGGGAAAAGACATGTCAAAACTATCCATGAGATGAGCATCTTGTTTTTGAATACCTAAGGAATATTTTGTGTGCTGTTCACATTACTACTACAGATATAGTGCATACTTTTGTATTTTTAAAAAATCCTTACCTGAGGATATATTTCTGTATTGATTTGAAAAAGAGAGAGACAGAGAGAGAAACATAGATGTGAAAGAGAAACATTGATTGGTTGCCTCCCTTATTCACCTTTGACTGGGAATAGAGCCTACAGCCTTGTGGTGCACAGGATGAGGCTCCAACCAACTGAACCACCTGGCCAGAGCTAATATGCATTATTAACATATTTTTTATATCTGATTTTACTGCTAATTAAAATAACACAATTTTTAGATCTTTCTATAAAACTATCGATTTTAATCCATTTCAGATTATTCACAGGTCTGGTTATCCAGGTCCTTTGTTTTTCTCTTCTGTTCCCACTTTAATTTTAGTTACTTTATTGCTTTTTGTAGCTCTTCCTGATGGTAAGGAAGAATAAAAAGATGGAAGGAACTCACTGAAGTTAAATTTTCTCATCAGCAATTTGGAAAAATGTTTGATTGTGGGCTAGAGAGGAATAATGTTTAAACTAACACACAGCCCAGTTTGGTTCAGTGGATAGAGCATCGGCCTGCAGACCAATGGGTCCTGGGTTCAATTCCCATCAAGGGCACGTACCTCAGTTGCATGCTCCTCCCCGGCCCCGGCCCTGACCAGGGCACGTGCAGGAGGCAACCAGTCGATGTGTTTTACTCACATCAATGTTTCTTTCTGCTTTCCCTCTCTCTTTCACTCCCTTTAAAAAAATCAATGGAAAAAATATCCTCTGGTGAGGATTAAAAAAATAACACACAGAAAACCTAACACATAAATTTGGTTTAATGATGTGTCCACTGTTTTAGCCTTGATTCTCTTCTTTCACAAATAATTCAATTGGCTTTATTTATGAGTCTTGGAAGAATTTCCCGTTTTTCTTTATAATGGAAATTTCATTTATAGCTTCTATTTATATATTGAACCAATTCTAACACACTTGCTTTTGAGGTTTCATTTTCATCAGGAATAATTTTTTTTTAAATACAGGCAAAGGTTCTTAAACTTAGAACTATGTAGTGAAAATTTTCACAAGAAACGGATTCTTACTTATTGAGGTCTTTGTGTAAGGACTGAATATTGATCCCTTCTCTCCCTACAATTTGAGTTTTCAGCCACATTTTAAAAAATACTTACTATTTTTTTAAATTACCAAAACAATAGGAGCTCCAGTTGCGCAATCGGTTAGCGCGCGGTACTTATAAATTACCAAAACAATATTATGACCCAGTTTTGACTGTGTGTAGCGTTGTTAATAATAATAACAGCAACAACAGAGGCAGCTTTTATTTACTGAACAGTGGATCAGCACTTTTTATGGATTAAGATGAGAACCTGAGGCTTTGATAAGGTAAGTAGCGCAAATTCACCCATTAGTAATGACAGAGCCAGGCTACTGCACTCTTAACCACTGTAGGTTGCCTTTTGGTTTGGGCTATAGCTTGAAAATCACTTAAAGGAGTGGAGTATCCAGTGTTTTAAAATTATGCTACTGTGGCAAGGCCTTTAATAAATATGATTTTTAAATTACTAAGCAGAATGCTTAGTACTTTAAAATTTTTTATAAATGAAACCATTTCCAAAACTAGTTCAGGTTAAAGGAGAGACATTTTTTCCTCCCAACTTTTTTGCTCTAGTTATATTTCACTTTTTTAGAATGGGTGTCTACTCCCTCCATTCGTAATTCTTTCCCTAAAAAAAATTCATACAAACACAAAAGCGCATTTAAAATATATAAATATATATATTATTGATTTCAGAGAGGAAGGGAGAGGGAGAGAAAGATAGAAACATCAATGATCAGAATCATTGATCAGCTGCCTCCTGCACGCCCCCCCACTGGGGATCGAGCCTGCAACCCAGACATGTGCCCTTGGCTGGAATCAAACCTGGGACCCTTCAGTTACAGGCAGAGGCTCTATCCACTGAGCCAAACCAGCTAGGGCAGTGGTCGGCAAACTGCGGCTCGTGAGCCACATGCGGCTCTTTGGCCCCTTGAGTGTGGCTCTTCCACAAAATACCGACTTATGCCATGGGCCATGAAGTTCAATCGCGCCCGTGCCTGCGCGACCGCACGTGGTATTTTGTGGAAGAGCCACACTCAAGGGGCCAGAGAGCCGCATGTGGCTCGCGAGCCACAGTTTGCCGACCACTGGGCTAGGGCAATGCACATGTTTTAATAAGTGATTTGGTTCATATTACTCCCAAAATTTAGATACTGTGATTGAAGTCACCCTAAAGTATATTTCTCAATTTCTCACTTTCCTGCTTTATTAGTAAGATATTTGCTCACACTTCTCCCATGAAATCTTGTATTATACAACTTTGGCTTTCTCATCCCTTTATTTTACTTTACTAAGCTTCCAGTGTAACCCAACAGCAACTTTTTTGATTTAAAATGATTGATGTGTCCTGACAGGTTTGGCTCAGCGGATAGAGCGTCGGCCTGCGGACTGAAAGGTCCCGGGTTCAATTGCAGTCAAGGGCATGTACCTTGGTTGCGGGCACATTCCCAGTGGGGAGTGTGCAGGAGGCAGCTGATTGATGTTTCTCTCTCATCGATGTTTCTGACTCTCTATCCCTCTCCCTTCCTCTCTGTAAAAAATCAGTCAACTATATATTTAAAAAAAATTTTTTTTTATTGTTGACAGTATATTTTATATATCCTCTTTTATTTTAATACTAGAGGCCTGGTGCACAAAAATTTGTGCACTCAGGGGGGGGAGGGGGGGTCCCTCAGCCCGTCCTGTGCCCTCTCGCAGTCTGGGACCCCTCAGGAGATAATGACCTGCTGGCTTAGGCCTGCTCCCGGGTGGCAGAGGGCAGGCCCAATCCCTAGGTGCAGCCCCTGGTCGGGCTCAGAGCAGGGCCGATTGGGGAGTTGGGGCGCCGCCCCCTGTCATGCACAGAGCAGGGCGGATCGGGAGGTTGCGATGCCACCCCTAGTCACGCTCAGGGTACAGCCCATTGGGGGGTTGGGGCACCGCCCCCTGTCACACTCAAGGCAGGGTCGATAGGGAAGTTGCGGCGTCACCCCCTGTCATTCACAGAGCAGGGCCCATCAGGGGGGTTGGGGCTTCGTACCCTGTCACGCACAGAGCAGGGCCGATCAGGGGATTGAGGAGCTCCCCCCTGTCACGCACAGAGTAGGGCCGATAGGGGAGTTGGGGCACCGCCCCCTGTCACACACACAGCAGGGGGTTGGGGCTCCGTACCCTGTCACACACAGAGCAGGGCCGATCAAGGGGTTGAGGAGCTCCCCCCGTCACGCACAGAAGAGGGCCCATCAGGGGGTTAGGTCGCTGCACCCTGTCACACACAGAGCCGCAGTGCGATCAGGGGGTTGGGGAGCTCCCCCCTATCAGGCACAGAGCAGGGCCGATCAGGGGGTTGGGGCGCCTTCCCCTGTCACGAACAGAGCAGGGCAGATAGGGAGGTTGTGGCCCCGCCCCCTGTCACACACCGAGCCGCAGGGCGATCAGGGTGTTTGAGCGCTGCCCCCTGTCACACTAATCCCGGTGCCGGGAGGCCTTGCTGCTCCGCTGATCCCAGTGCTGGGAGGCATATTACCTTTTTACTATATAGAATAGAGGCCTGGTGCATGGGTGGGGGCCGGCTGGTTTACCCTGAAGGGTGTCCTGGATCAGGGTGGGGGTCCCTATTGGGGTACCTGGCCAGTCTGGGTGAGGGGCTGAGGGCCGTTTTCAGGCTGGCGGGTGACTGAAGCTCCCAACTGCTCCTTTTTTTCTTTTTTTCTTTTTTTTATTCTGGGCCAGCTTTAGCTCTGAGGCCTCGGCTGCTGAAAGCAGGTTTCTGGCCTTTGTTTACCTTCTGTATTTGATACAATGTTGTGGTCCGGCTGGCTGAACCTGGCCGGTTTC